ACGCGGCATGTGAAAGAGTGGCTACAGCGAGTGGGTGGTAGTAATATGCTGTTTTTCAGCCAGCTCTTTGAAGCAAGAGAAAATCATGGTTGGAAAGAAAAAAAAAACGCTTGACTGGAAATGCTGCACTTTGCGTTTGAGATACGCTTAGAATTAACGGTTTTTGCTCTCTTTTCTTCTTTTTTGCTCCTGTCTATTCAATTATGGCATTTTTTGCTTTCGCAGCAAAGCAGTCATTAGTCGTTGGAAGTTTTGCGGCACATGAAATTGTTGGTTCTGCAAGTACCGCTGCACTAAAGTTTTCGAGATGTTTTCTAAACTCGCTGTTTGAAGGCTGTCCTGTCCTTAGTTACAAATTCTTGTCATTGAAAATTTTGAAGTTTAAAATTATAAGCCTAAGCAATTTTTCCACATTTATGAAAATTACACAGCTCGCCAACTCGCTTATTACCATTCGTTACACTCGTTAAGCGGTTACGAACACAAATTTTAAAATGCTTAAATTTTACTTGTTTAGGAGTGTCCTACTTAAGTAAAAGGGAAGGAAATGTAAATAAGTATGTATTTCTCCGATAACGTGTAATTCGTATAAATGTACCTATGTATACCGGTGCGTATACGCAACCATTCCTCTGGTACTAGCAAATGATCAGCAGGGCCAAAAAGTTTAAGCTTTTGCTTGGAATTGCTTATTTTGCTTATTCAGGCTTTCCAAGCCTAATTTTAATGATCATGCTTATTTCGCTTATTTCAATGTATAAAGCGAAATACGGACCTTTTAATTTAACGGTCAAGAAATTAATTCGTGTGTGTGAATAGTAGTGTCCAAGAAGTTTTGACATCTGATATTTTGCAGCCTGCTGTCTCACCTTTTCCTTCCGAATTAATGGAAAGGACATATATTTTTGTTGAAAACAAGACTACCTTTTGCTATTCACAAACAAACTTTTAACAAACCATTGTAGAAAGCGTTGCAAGTTTCTGAAGAACTTCGTACTGCTTAAGTAAATTTGGCTCAACAAATTTTTTTACCATTTTTTGGCGTTTTTTTTATTTGTCGAAATGTTTACAAATAATAACATAAGAACAGATTTGGTTTTTAATACACAAATTTTAAGATTAAAAACAATTTATCCTAAATGAGAACAAAGAATATTAAAAAAAAAATCAAAATGACCAGCGCAGATCTCTATTATTTGAGAATATCAAGCAACACTTGATTGTTCATTGTAATTTTTCAATCCTTGAAATAAACTGAATAAAAAAACAGTAAACTGTACACCAGATTTTGTTGTTTTGCGAGCATATTTGCAAGCATATTTACGAGTGTTTTGGTGCTTATATAATCACTTAAAATGGATTTTTCTTGCTTATTTTCTTCGGCCCTGATGACCAGTGTTGCCACAAATTTTTCCTCGAATTCACAATTTATTCGGTGAACGGAGCGCTTTTTTGAAGATTTGAAGGTAAAAAACTTAGATTTGGGTTATATCGCAAAGACATTTATCGAGTACATAAAGTTAAATAAACAAACTAAATCTAACAAATTTTTACGAAAGATACGATGAATGCCTTTCAAACGTAACAATTGCAAAAACTTGCAAGAAAAAGTAGTAGTAAACATATTTGTGAATTATTTTTGTAAGGGAGACCTCGTCATTTGTCCGTCGCAATGGCCGAGTGGAAAAAATGCACTGGCGTGCCATTCAAGGGATCCGAAGTCAGGCTAAGATAGTAAAAAGTCTTTCGTAAGACAAATGAAAGACAGATGGCAAGATACTTCGATACTTATTCTAGCACAAAAGTCTTAAAAAAAGCTCTCTCATTCACCACTCGTGGTGAAAAGCTATGTTGAGAGAAGGCAACGGTATATCATTAAGCTCAAATCGGTGTCATCTGAAAGATCTGAGTTCGAACCTCGGGCAGCGGATTTTTTTCTTTTTCTATATTTTTTTTTAAATTAAGTTTCTTTGAATTTTCATATTGTATTGTTTAAATTTTTTAATTTCACTTTTTCTTTCTCAATTTAATTTTCTTATAATATTTATATCTTATTGCTTTAAAAAGAAGAATATTTTTTATTTTATTTTAAGAAACTTATTTCCTTGTTGAAATTAAATTTCTCTTCGATTTAAGTTTAATTTTCTTTTAGTTTTTCGATTTTATTGCTGAAACAAAAATAAAATGTGAATTTCATTTGATTTTTAGAAACTTGTGTTGTTAGTTTTTTTCTTTAATTTTTGTTTTATCGTTAGCTTCGCTTTCTTTTAACTTTTAGATTTTGTTTAAAAAAGAAAAACTTGTTTTTTATTTCATTTAATTTTTAGGAACTTATTCTATTTTCTTTCGATTTAAGTTTTTTGTAATATTTTAAATTTAATTTTCCTTACATTTTTAGGTATTTTAAAAAAAAATATTAAAATTTAAGTACGATTTTCTTCTTTTTTTCTTTTTCTAATTTAATTTTTAAGATTTATAGCTCAAGAACAAACAAACATTGATTTTAATTTTATTTTTGTTATTTTATGGCCTTGGCTTAACAAATGAAATAGTGGAAAAAAGCAACAAGAATTCACAAGGCAATCTTAGCACAGTGCGTAGGCAACTGGCTGAGTCAGTGGGATCGTCGGTTCGAATCCTACTGAAAGAAGTCTGATGAAATGTGGTGATTTCCGAAATTGCTATCACTTCTACCATTTTTTTTTCAAATTATTGTTGCTTTTCCACAATAAGTTTTTCATTAAAAACGGCCTCAAGCTCAATTAAAATTGTTGCATTTTAATTTTATTTAATTAAAAAAAAATATTTTTTATTTATTTTTATCTCAGCTTCAATTTTATTTTTTTTAGTTAATTTTCATTCATTTATTACTATTGATGCATATGTTTCTTTGATTTGATTTAATAAAACACGCTTATTGCTTATATTTATTTCAGTTTCAATTTTTTTTTATTTATGTAACTTTCATTCATTTATTACTTTTGATGTATATGTTGCGTATTTGATTTTTGTTTATTTAAGTTTATTATTTTTTATAAAAGTCTGATTAAAATTTAACAGAATTTGAAGTTTGAAATGTGAATTTATATGGTGTTAGTTGTATAACCAGCTGGCTTTTACAAAAAAAAAAATATAAATATTAAATAAGCACAAGGCAAATAGTCATAAATGCTTAAATATCACACTAATAATATTTTGTGGACAACTTAATATATTTTTTTAATTTGACTTAATTTTTATAAATTTGTTTTGTTTTTCATTTTGTATATAGTTTTAGATATTATGCTTTAAGAAAATATTTTTTAATCGTACTAAATTTTTACAAAAAATTATTTTTCTTCGAATTTTAAATAATTATTAGTTCGTTTTTTAATTTGGTTTTTTTTTTTAATTTTTTAGTTTTTATTATAAAAAGAAATTTTTTTAATTTCATTTAATTTTTAGGAATTCATTTATTTTTTTCTTATATTTAATTTTTTTTTAATTTTAAGATTATATTATTTTAAAAAGAAAAAAAATTTTCATAAAATTCATTTAATTTTGTTTATTTTTTTGAATTAATTTTTTTCTTCTTTTTTAATATAAAATTTTGTTTTAATTCTTAATTTGCATTATTTAAAACAATATACATACTTGTATATATTTTAATTTCATTTAAATTTAGAAAAATTTTTGCTAAACAACAAATAAAAAAACTCTAAGGGCCGTTTGCACCATGTCTAGTTAACGCTAACTGGAGGTACATCCTTCAGTTAAGCACGTTAACTGCTTTATCGATCACATGTTATATGATGGGTGTCGATAACGTCGATAAAGATGTTTAACTGGGAGTTAGAATTAACTAGACATGGTGCAAACGGCCCTAAGACCACTACTTTTGTCTTTCGAAAGTCTGTAGCAAAGTGAATTCATACAAGATGGTGTTACTAGATCAGTTGATCTTGTGTGCATGTCCTCACGACTTAGAATGTCAAATTGAAATATTTTGTTTGCACTTCCATACACGATCTTACAGTTTTTGACAGTTCATGCCTCAAAATCAGAAGCAAAATATGTACATACATGTAAATTTTTATTTTTATTTTTTTATATTTTTTAGAATTGCCCTGTTAGGAATTATTCTTGTTAGCAAGTATTCTAAGCAAACACTTATTTTTCAATCAACTGGGACAGTGTTTGTATTCTTGCAATTTACTTCTTCAGCTAGGGGTACTTTCTCATTCCATAATTCAAATGTAAAGCCAGGACTTGTTTAAACTAGAATATCAAATATCATTTGCTATTAAAGCAAAGTTATGACAGCCTAAAAGGTCTCAAATGATGTGATGTAGCACACATGACATTTTAAAACAATTATCCAGAATAATGAATGAAATTTCTTGACGCCATCGTGCTAAGAACACACCGTTACTCCCAACAAGTAATACAATACGCGTCTGCGACTACGAAATTGCATCTGAGAAATATTGCGGCCTTCAAACGCACCACAGCAAACAGAAGAGGAGTTTAAACTAAAAATAATTGAAATGTTGAAAGTTCAGAATTACACAAAACCATTGTAGGAAAGAAATAAAGAAAAGTTGGAGAGGAAAGAGGTAATGAAAAATATGCTTTGTAATTAATTTGAATGTACGAGAAATTCGCACATCATCATTTCGGTATTTATGTTGGCATAAACACTTCATTTGCATTTCTCATATATAAATTTCCTGCGTATATGTATGTGTATGTGTGTATGAGTGTGAATGCTTTGTGAAAAATATCGAATTTCCCACAATAAATCACAAAGCACATTTGCGCAACCAAGCAAAAGGCGGGTGGCGGCCAGGCAGGGGCTGCTGAAGAAGGCAGTCGATCGAGCAGTGCCTGCTTCTGGGGCCAATGCATTGCAGCATTTCTGCTTTCCTTTCATTTCTCGCTTTTTTCCAGCAGCATCAGTTTCAGTCACTGAAAAGAAAAATAATGTGTGAATTCTTTGGTTTCTCTTGTGCTATTTACAGAGTCGACCGACGACTACGACGACGTGTTGGGCCACTGCACCCGCTGTCTACAGCAAGAAGCCAACGAGCGAGCGAGCACCAGCCGCACAATTGAAGAAGACGCGCCACTAAAATCCATAAAGGCACAAGTGTTTTTTTCGGTGGGCGCAGCAAAGGGAGCGAGAAATTCGAGCAGCCGCAAAGTGTAGGGGACGAAGAGGCGCGTGAACAAACAAATAGAGTCGCAGTCAAAATAAAAATTCTTCATGAAGAAAAAAGTATTTATAAGCAAATAAATCGAATGGCAGAGCGCCTGCAGTCGCCGCAATCCGGGTAAACAAAGCACAAACTTCGACTTCACAGCTGGTTATTGCTGAATTTGATATTCTGACATTGGGAGCAGACGGCGCGAACTAGAGCCATTGCCGTTGCTTGTTGCTTGCTGTAAGCGTAAATGCGTGCGTGAGTGCGCGTGTTATCGAAAATTTGCTAACTCCTTTGCAGGCACTGCCACTTTGCATATGTAGGCGAGTGGGCTGTGGGCCGCTGCAACCGCGAGCGTTTCGACAACGACGACGTTAATGATGCAAAGGCATATAAAATTCAACCAAAGCAATTTGTACTTGAAAATCGCGCGCGAGTAAAATCCGTGAAATTGAATTCGTGCCTATCAGTCGAAAGATGTTGAGAAGAAGAAGAAGAGATGCGCGTATATCCGCCGGTTAGTTCTCAGTTGCAAGTACATATATGTAATTATATAGTGAAAAATCTAACTTATTACATCGCGCGAGTTGTTAAAACGAATTGAAATTGTTTCGTGATTCGCTTAGTGATTATGTGCAGCCGCGCCAGCAACAACAAAAGCAATACTATTCGAGGTGATTACATAGAAAAGTAGTCCTACGTGCAATTAGCCATTGGTCGTGGCGGAAATTTAGAAGAAAACTAATTTTTTTTACTAATCGATCGGGCGCGCGTAACAAAATAAAAACGCGCGAAATAGAAAGAATTGAATTGGTAGCAGCGCATAATTGGCAAAAACGGCCGACCGGAAAGTTAAGAAGGCACCGAGGCGAGGCACAGGAAGAGCACAAGCAGCAATAGCCCCAGCACGATGTTGGCCGGCATAAGGAAGCGTTTGGCGCGCAAGTAAGTACTAAAGCAGTTTTCACGTACCAACATAGAGACTTAATGAGATTTTTTGTGTGTTTATAATCGCATTAGGCACTCTGAGAAATCTATGATAGCAATGAGCAGGATTTGTATTTAT